AGTTTGAGGGACTTTGAGGACAAACTACCCAGCTCACAGTTTCCCTGCTGGTCGGCTCCTCCAGACTGTCAGGAACACCTGACTTATTTTGGACATGAGGAAGGACTCAAGGGCTGGCTGGAGACTGAGATCTAATAAGTTCTGTCTCCATAGACAGCCACAGCTCTGTCCTAGATGCAAGCAGAATCCTCCTGCACCTGCCCTTTCTCTTGCCACAGGCCCACCAGTAAGCTGAGCCACAGAAGGGAATGGGGCCTAATTTCTTTATCAGTTATTCATACTTGGACTCTAGAACTTAGGCTGTAGAACCCTGAGAGATAAGAGCTAAGCATGTATCATCTCTATTTACAGATGGGGAACCTGTGCCCAGGAGAGGTCGCACAATGTGCCCAAAGTCATAAGGAAGAGGGACAGGCAGGTTTTGAAGCCAGAGCTGAATGGCTCTGAATCCCTTGTGTCTGCAGGGCTCTCCATTATATCAGCAGTGTTCTGAGTTATTTAGGTAGATACCTACAAGTTTCTTTTAAGAGTTCCTCAATCTAAAATATTGTAGTAGTTTTCTGAATGTTTTTGCAGGGATCTTGGACAAGAAACAAGGGCAATGTAACAATGTAACAAGTCGGGGTTCTCCAGAAAAACAGAACCAATAGGAGATAGATAGACAGACAGGTAGATATAGACATATAGACAGATTTTAAGGAATGGGCTCACACAGTTGTGGGAGCTGGCAAGTCTGAAAACCACAGGGCAGGCCGGCAGGCTGGAAACTCAGGCAGGGTTTCTATGTCAGGGTCCTAAGGCAGGTTTCCTTTTCCAGGAAAGCTAAGTTTTTGATCTTAAGATTTTCAACTGATTGAATGACGCCCACCCTCATAATTAAGGGTAATCTTTCCTTAAAGTCAACTGACTGTAGATGTTAATCCCATCTACCAAACGCCTTCACACAACATCTAGACTGGTGTTGACCAAGCCACTGGGCACCTTAGCCTAGCCCAGTTCACACATAGAATCAACTGTGAGAGCAGCAACCTTCATGTAGTCAGTCGGTGCAGGTGCATGAACTCCGAGACTCAGAATGGTTAAAGTAACTTTTCCAAGAGGACAGCTCTGGTGGAATCAGAGCTAGAAGCCAGGTTTGTCCGATTACCACTACACCAGACTGCCTTCCAAAAGCTTCCATTTTAATCGGCTAGATTTAGCCATCTACAAGAGGTGAATGAAGTGACTCAAAGTCACTCAGTTTGTCGGGGCTGGACCTAGAACTCAGTTTTCTGGGCTCCCAGCCCAGCTTTCTCACTCGGCATACTGCCCCTCTGCTTCCGGAAAATTCTGCGCTTAAAACACTCCATCCCGTGCAGGACTCACTTTCCAGATAAATGATGGCAACAAATTGCTTACTCCTGAGTCAGCAGGCCCCTGCTGAGGTAAGACTGACCAACGCAGCACAGTGCAGAAGGCTGTTATTACCATCTCAGCAAACACATGTGCCCGGAGTCCGTACCCTGAAACCACTTAATTGCTGAAACAACTTCATAATGAGACCCTTTCAAGACATCAATATTGAACCCTCCTTGAACTGAGTCTGAAATGGACCTATCTACTGACAAATCGGTCTTCGTGGTAGTTTGCATTTCAGCGAGGTTAAAGGGAATTTGCAGAAAGCGCTTCAGAATCTGATGCTGTCTATGCAGAGGGAAATAGGCTTGTTTGGACTACATTTGTAAGGCGTGCTGCTTACCAGGTCTGTTTACCCTGGGTCTTGCCATAGATCGGTTTGGGTGCAAGCAGCAGAAACCAATGCTGGATAGTTTAATTAAAATAAAAGAAATCAAAGGAAAACAAAACAAAAACAGATGAGTGGTATATCTTGTAGAATCACAGGAGAATGGGGAAAACCAGTGCCTGAGACCACAGTTAACCAGGGCAGCCCTGGGCTTCTCGGCAGCAGTAGTTCAGAAGCCTCCAGAGTGTTGTCTGACACTAGTGCAAGTCACCTATGTGGTTTCCCGATCTCTGTATTTCTGTTCAGGTTTCTAAAAATGAGAAATTGATTGGCTTAGCTGGGTCAAGTGTCTGCCTCTTAACCAACCTGCACCGGCCAGGGGTTCAGGTAAGGCAGGCACATCTCTGGGCCCTGCTCCTTTGTACAGGTGCAATAGAAGGGGGAATTATTTTCGAGCAGGGATCTCCAAGGTGTAGCTACTATAATAACCATGATTGTAGACGTGTATGGAGACATCCATGCTTATAGATCTCTGTATCTATTGAGTATATGTGTGTATACACTCTGCCCGTTCCCTTCACAGTCCAGCCCTCCCAGCCTCCCACTCTATTTCCATAGCATTCACATCTTAAAATAATCAGCTGCAAATGCAATCTTGGGCCCCAGTTTAGAGATACTTGTCCTTAGGCTTTTAGCATCCTGAGGCATTTACAACAACCGTGGGCAGAGACTTTGGGCTGTTCTGTTCACTCTGTATTTCCAAGTGCCTGCCACACAGTAGGTGCTCAGTGATTGCCGAATGAGTAACAACCGTCCACCAATACTGGGACACCTTCCCCCACTCCCCAGAGGTTTCAGGGGCTTTGCCATCTTGGTCCAAGGATATTCTTTAGACCCATAAGTCCCATCCCCATCACCCAGCAGTGATAAATAAGGCACACATCTTTCCTGGGGGAGAGGTGAAGAGCCCCAGCTCTGCCTGTATCCACCTAGGATTGATATAAGAATGCGGGCTGACACTAATGCCTGGCCATGGACGAGGGCATCTGGGGTGTTTGAAAACTGATGTTACTGTTCAGACACACAGGGGGAGAGGAACGCAGGCCAGGACAGCCTAACTCAAACCTCTGGCCTTCAGACTGGCAAAGTGTAGCTCACTGACGTTCTGTCTTACTGTCATCCTTTACAAACCTCCTCTGAAGGATTGACATGGGGGCTGTATGTCATTTGGAATATAGTCAAAGCATAATAATAAAAAGTGAACTACAAATGGTGTTCATAGGGTTCCAGAGTGAACTTTCAGTCCATCTGTCAACCACCCCCTCTCCACTGGGAGCTGGTGAGACCCTTTAACCAGGGTGGCTTCAGAAAACTGTCCTTATTCTGACCTGGTCCTGATAACCCCTCATCGTGCACTGATACAAGTCCTGCTGAGGTCCTCTTGGACCACCACTCTGTTCTTGTCCCACATCTTCTGGGGCTGACATAGTTACCTCCTTGTAGCATCTTTGCAGACTGGCCCTAGTCCCTGCTTCTGCACAGGCTCAAAGTTTTGTCAAGTGAAGTGACTTTAGTAATACAGCAGTAAGCAATTGTGTGGCTGTGGGGGGCTACTTCTTCCAGTGTTTTCCAAAATGCCTTCCCGTGCCTACATTTACCCCAAGGGAGGCTGCTTTCTTTATTTCAGAGCTAGAAGCAGACGGCCCCTGATGGCGTTGAGACCCAAGGGTCAGTCGTCAGAACAGAAAGCCAGAATGAAGTACCGAGGTCATGGCCATAGGGAATCCTAGAAGATCAAGCCAGGGGTAATGACAGCACTGCAGTGTAATAGTGACCATTTGTCACTGCAGGTCTGCCACCTGCCAGGTGTGCCAAGCAGTGTTCTGTCTTCACAGCAACTCCAGGAGGGAGATGTTATTGCCACTATTTTAGAGAGGAGGAAGCTGAGGTAGTGAGAAGCTACACGACTTGCCCAGGATGACAGGACTCATAAAGTGGCATTGCCAGGATTCAAATCCAGTCTGTGTTCATTAAGAGCCTCATGCTATATGTCCCTCCCTGAGCCTTTCTCCCTTTCCAAATGGTTGCTCCAGAGCCGGGAAATGGCAGACAAATCCAAAAGGGAGGGAGCTGGGTCTCAGAGGAACAGAGCAGAAGGCCAGGTGCAAAGGGGGAGTCACTGAGAGCGGAGCAGAGGGCCAGGTGCAGAGGGGGCGTCACTGAGAGTGGAGCAGAGGGCCAGGTGCAGAGGGGAGTCACTGAGAGCAGAGCAGAGGGCCAGGTGCAGAGGGGGAGTCACTGAGCGCGGAGCAGAGGGCCAGGTGCAGAGGGGAGTCACTGAGCGCGGAGCAGAGGGCCAGGTGCAGAGGGGGCGTCACTGTGAGTGGAGCAGAGGGCCAAGTGCAGAGGGGAGTCACTGAGAGCGGAGCAGAGGGCCAAGTGCAGAGGGGAGACACTGAGAGCAGAGCAGAGGGCCAGGTGCAGAGGGGAGTCACTGAGAACGGAGCAGAGGGCCAAGTGCAGAGGGGAGTCACTGAGAGCGGAGCAGAGGGCCAGGTGCAGAGGGGAGTCACTGAGAGCGGAGCAGAGGGCCAGGTGCAGAGGGGGAGTCACTGAGAGCAGGGCAGAGGGCCAGGTGCAGAAGGGGAGTCACTGAGAGGATGGAGAACTTTGCACCAACAGGTGGGATCCCGGAGTTCTGTCTTACCCAGCCAGGTGCTGTCTGCATGAATTGGCTCTGGCTCCTCTAAAGCCTCAGGGTCCAAGGATTCAGGGATAAAGGAGTCACAGAGATGGGATCTGGAGATGCCCAGGGAGAGGTGACGAGATGATTCTCTCGTCAGCTTTACGTCCACCTGCTCTTGTGTGGCCTGTGGTGCAATAGGGGTGGTTGACCTGCCCAGGGGTCAATCAACTCTATGAGTCCTTTGAGACCTTCCTTCTGTGCCTGACTCTGGCAGGGGTACGTGCTGCAAACCTGGGGGAAGGTCCCTGGGTCTCTGCTCTCTGGCCTGCCATCTGTTCACGGTCCAGGAAGACTCAGCTCTCTGGCCCAGAGACGGCAGAATGGAGCAGTCAGTTGTACTCTGGGCTTCCTCACTGGTATCTGTCAGGCTGCTTTGCCTCCCCGGGCCTCAGTTTCCCTGTGTTAAACTGAGAGGTTGACTTTGGCTTTCTCTCCCACAGTCTCTGGCCCCACCACCACCCCACCCTCACAGGGGAAAGGCCTGAACCTGGCTTAACTGGGACCCTGTCTCTGCCTGCCCCCTCTTTTCAGGAAGTCTGTCATCCAGCTTGACCTCGCCAACACCAAGAAAGCAATGATCGTCCCTGCATTCGAGACGCTGCGCTACCGGCTCTCTTTCCCCAAGTCAAAAGCAGAGTTGCTGTCAATGCTGGACATGGGGACTCTGTTCACGTTCAGGTGAGTGGCTCACTGCTGTCCTCTGGGGGTGCCTGTAGGCCTTTTCTCTCCTGGGAAACCCGAAAACCTAAGCCATTAGCCCAGAAGTTTCTTGCAAATGCTAGTCCATTGTAGGGCCAAAAAAAAAAGCACCACTTGTCCAAAACAATGTCCTTGGAATCTTCTCTCTCCCCTACCCCCATGTCCTGTGCTTTTTTTGTACATGGGTGATGGATACTATGTGTCCAGGTGGAAGGACAGGCATGTTTGAGAAAGCTTAAGCTCACTTCTCTTTGGACTTTTTTCTAAACTCAGTTTAGGTTTCTGCTCGCGTCTCCCAGCTCAGTTCTCTCCTGTCCTTGCCCATGCATTCATTTGGTAGGTGGGTTTCATTCTGTTAGCACCATGGTGGTGGTTTTCCTTTTCCTTTTTGGTGTGAGCGGTCTGTTCTGTGAGCCCGTCCAGTCCAGGGTGCGTAGGAGTCACTTCAACAACTTAGAGTCATTCAGGTGACTCCAGAGTTCCACACAGCCATTGTAGCAGCTGACTTTTTCCTGGCAAACAAGACCCTCATTTCCCAGGCCCCAAGTCCTGCAGGAACGTTGCAGGGGAGCCACCACCTCTCCAGAGTGCTCCAGGAATCTGTACAGCTAACTGCACAGGTACAAATGGATTCCACCTTCAGGGGACAAGCTGCAGCGATAAGTGTAGCATTGGGGATGCAGGATGGGGGGAGGAGGAGTCCTGCTGGGTCTCTTAATCGAGCGGTCTGAAGAGAGAGCCAGTGCTTCCACCTGCTCCTGTTGTAAAGCGAGGCCTCCATTTTGAATAAAGAAATAATGGCCCACTCTTCCTTTGTACCAAAAAGCATATGAGATAGTTCAGAAAGTTGGTGAAAAATGGAATTGAATGATAATACAAATCTTTCCATGAACTTTTCCAAGACCTCCTTGTACATTTCTAGGCTAGCTGAACCTGAATTTTATTGAAAGGATTGCAGTCATGATAACTTATGTTTTCATACCACTATTAAACTTCTAGAAGTTTCTGGAAGGTTTTCTCAAACAAACTTTATCTTGTGAAAATCACTGTATGAGGTAGGTTATTCACTTAACAATTCAGAGGTAGGTTATTCACTTAATAATTCACATTTTATACAGATGAAGAAACTGAGAAGTGAAGAGGTCCTGCTGGAGCCAGGACTGAAACCCCAGCCTTCATCCTCTGTCCAGAATTCTGGAATGTGACCTGGAAGAGTGAATACTCCTACAAACAGTGCCTTTCTTCTTTTCAGAAAGAAATTATAACAATATCAGTCATTGAGTGCTTAACATGTACCAGGCACTGTGACTGCATATTTAATGCTCATAGATGAGGCTGATACTATTATCCCCATTTGACAGATAAAGAACCTCAGGCTCTGAGAGGTTAAATAACTTACTCAATGACATACAGCCAGTAAATGCCAGAGTCTGGATTCAGCCCAGGTCTGAAGAACCACATAGACTGTGTTCTTAACCAGCATATCATCAGACCACTGACAAGTTCTGAATTTTCTTAACAATCAATGTTTGAAGATACAGAGTAAAATTTGCACCTGCAAACCTGGAAATTGAGAGTTTAAGACCAAACCTCAGTCTGAGTCTTTTGCACACGCCATAGCCTGATAGCTAAACACTTGGTAAACTTCCAAAGCATCCTTCCTTCTATCTCCATCCCCAGGTGATTTGAAAACTCATTTCATGCATGTCCAAGGGCATGGGAGCTGGGGTGTGGCCTGCTGTGTCCATGATTGCTGCGCTGGCCAACAGCTTGGAAGCCACCATGCCAAGTGCTAAATTACAGACCTTCCGTCTAAGAAATTGCTTTTGTCACCTGCTTTTCAAACAATGGACACTTAAGCCTCCAAGCAGCTGAAATCTACTCCCTACTGCACCTGGAATGAGAAAGCATCTGCACCCCTGCAAGTCCTCTATGGTAGTGCTTCTCAGAGTGTGGTCCCTGGACGAGAAGCCTCAGCATCACCTGGGAGCTTGTTAGAAATGCAAAGTCTCAAGCCCCACCCAGACCTTCTAAGTCAGAAACTGGAGCTAGATGACTCTGATGTTCACTCAAGTTTGAGAACCACTGCTCACAGCAAAGTGCCCTAAATCTCTTCTGCTCAGTAGCATCCTATAAGGTGTACCCAGGAAACCTCTCTCGTCATTGTATTTTTTCTTTATTTTGAGGCTACCTGTTATTGCTGGTCTCAGAGAGCAAGCTCTGAAGTCCACTGTCAACTGGACTGACAGTGGGTTCCGCGGGTCATTTTCAAGCTGTGGCTTATTTTAGTGGCAAGTTCATTGTAACTGCACTGTCCTCTGCCACCTACCATTTGGCATGCTGTCAATATTCCAATTGACCCAGCTGTCCCTGCTCTACCCCTCTTTTTTCCTCCTTTTCACATTATAATAGGCCAGCAGTTTAGAGTCTAAAGATGGAAGATAAATAAAATGGCTATCAACATACCGATATCAC